TCCCCATCATCCCCATCATCCCCATCATCACTATCGCCATCATCCCCATCATCCCCATCCCAGCCAGGCTTTGGCTTCATGGAGTATTGGAGATGGGAGGGCACAGGAAAGCAAGCCACCACAAATGTGGCTGCATGAGCAGGTTCGGGGTTTGCATCCTGCCTAGCACCTTCTACGGCCCTGCCTCCACAGCAGTGGCCAGCGCTAACCCAGCATGTCCACTCACTGTTCTAGGAAATGCTGTAGACCTTGCCGTCGCTTCTCAATGAACTCATCAGAGCTGCCAAAGAAAGTGGACTTCCCAGGAAGTTCAGGTACCGGCCTGTGGAAGCAAGTATAACACTCAAGGTAAGTGAAGCATCACTCCAATCCCACCCAAAATAAGCCCCTGGAAAGAGGCCCGATCAATCTGATCATCATTCAGTAGGGGACATGACAGGGCTGACCCTGGCTGACGGCATGACCTATGGCAGGCATCTTGCATCACGTGTCCACAAACATGGCACTTAATCCTCCTAAAAACCCCATGAGAAAAATATTAGTGTCCATTTAGAAAGCCAGAGAGATGATATAAAATTCCCACTGTCAGCCAGCAACTTGGGAGGTAGAGGCAGGAGGTCTCCAAGTTCAAAGTCAGCCTGGTCTACCAAGTCAATTCCAGGACAACCAGGATTATGTATACAGGGAAACCCTGTCTCATTGATACACCACAGCTAGTAGCTAGGTCTATGATTCCAAACGCATGCTGCTCCACCACTGCATCTAGCACACCACTTCCAACATCAATCACTTTTGTCTTCGTATATGTAAGTGCTTGCTTGGTGATATGTGCACCAGGTGTGCACAGTACCCAGAGAGGCCAGAAGAGGGACTCAGACCCCCTGGAACTATAATTACAGGTAGTTATAGGCAACTTAGTATGGGTTGCCACACCCAGGCCCTCTGCAAGAGCAACAAGGGCTCTTAACTACCGAGCCACCTCTCCAGCCCCTTTGGGGGATTTCTGACACACAGCCTCACTGTGCTGCATAGCTCTGGTTCGCCTGGAACAGGCAGTGATCCTCTTGTGTCTGCTTCCTAAGTGGTAGCACTATGGGCCCGCTCTACTCACCGAGCTCTACTGCTGTTGTGCTTTGCACTGGGGTGGGGGAGCACGTGCATACACGTACATGTGGAAGCCAGGCGTTGATATAGGCTATCTTCCTCACTCACCCTCCACTTCAGTTGTTCAAACTGAGTCTCTTACTGAACCCAGAGCTCATCCACTTGGCTAGACTAGCTGGCCATCAAGTCCCTAGGATTCCTGTCTCAGTCTCCCAGCACTGGATTACAGGCTTTTCACATGGTACTCAGTTCCTTATGCTTCACAACAATCATTTTACCAATAGCCATCTGCCCAGCTTCCAGCTCCATTACTGGAAGAAACTTAAAGCATAGAATTCTGGGTCCCTGCATAAAAATTAAAACTATCTACTCCAAGTCAGACATGTTGCCCTGTGTCTATAATCTCAACTACTCAGCAGTCTAAAGCAAGAAGATGGAGGGAACATTTGAGGCCAGCCGAGAGCTACATACACACACAGGCTCTACCTCCAAAATAAATAAATAAATAAGACTGCTCTAGCCCTAGAATTTGCTAAAAATGAGATGAGTTATAGCAAGTTACTGTTAAACTTTCTTAGCTTCTATTATAAAGCACAGGGAACACATTAAAACATAGATAACAAGCAGCCAGGGCTAAAGACATAATTCAGTGATAGTGATTGCCAGCCACACACAAGCCCTGAGTTCAATCCCCAACATACAAAAGAAGAAAAGGAGAGAAAGATACACAGACACCCTCACAGAGAGAACAACAGACAGAGGCAGATGGGCAGACAGACACCCGAACCAGCCTAGAGGAAAGGAACTAAGGGAATCACCTGGATACCCCATGGTAACTAACTGGGCAGACTATCTACCAGTGAGCAATCCCAACCACTCTGAAGTAAACGAAGGGAGTTAACGGCCAGAGAATCAACAGTTCAAGGCCAACCTGGGCTACAAGACCATGTCTCCAAAAGGAAAAAAAAAAAAAAATGTATCTAGGTGTGGTAATCTATGCCTATAATCCCAGCACTCCAGATGCTGCCACTGAAGCTTGCAACTTCAAGGCCAACTTGGACTACATAGTGGAACCTGCCTTAAAAAAGGAAGAAACCTCCAGTTCACAGAGAAGACAACTTACAACATACCAGGCACTGAAGTTTTGCGTCAGCTGGGTGTTGGTAGCGCACGCCTCTAATCCCAGCACTCGGGAGGCAGAGGCAGACGGATCTCTGTGAGTTCGAGGCCAGCCTGGTCTACAGAACGAGTGCCAGGATAGGCTCCAAAGCGACAGAGAAACCCTTTCTCGAAAAACCAAAAAAAAAAAAAAGTTTTGCTAAGTCAAATAACTAGAAAGGAGAATGTTGGTTTTCTTTCACTGACTGAAACACTGATTTAAAGTAGTTCTTTAGTGCCTGGCATGTTCTAAGGAGGAACATTCCTTAGTTCTCTGTGAAGTCTACATAATCACCAAAGAGTCTGTTCAGACCTGAGAAGGCAGCAAGGGCAAACTCACACCAAACCCGCATTCCTCTGAAGCTGCTTCCTCAGCCACACGAATTCACGGTAGCGGCGCCTCACACAGGAGGTCTTGGCGGTAAAGGCCTTGCTGTTTGTCTACAAGAGAAGTTCATAAAAAAGGGTTAAATGGAAAAAGACTAAGTCTATATGAATTCGCCACTATCACTCTCATTAAGGGGCCAAATTATCAGGCCACTGATCCCCAGACCAAGGTGCCACTAGACAGACTGAAAACAATTCACAATTACACCTTGTACTCTTTCTTCTCCACATGCCTTTTCTTCTAAATCTTTTGTCTCAGGCTGTTGAGAACACCCACAAATCATTTCTACTTCAGCACAGCCCATAGCCCTGCAGTTGACCCCATTACAGAAGCGTGACTCACATGAAGGAATATCTTATAGTCCACGTAAGAATTCCAGGAGCCCTCATTCTGCACCCGGGGGTCCTGAACACGCACTGTGATCACCTCCTGCAGGTGTTTACAAAAAAAAAAAAAAAGGCTCCCTCAGCTTCAGCTCAGTCACACAGAAAGAAAGTGGTTTGGTTTTGACTTTGGAGCCCAGCTGGCCTGGAACTCACTGTGTAGACTTCTTGCCTTGAACATGTGGCATTTTTCACACATCTGCCTCCCAAGCGTTGAGATCATAAGGCACCAGGCCTTGCTAGCAAGGCAGCTCTGACCACACAGTAGTTACCAAGGTTTCCAATTCAGTATCAATTCCCAATCATTTCTCCACTCGATACAAATACCTATGCCAGGCACTGTACTAAGATAGAGCATAAACAAGAAACAAAACTTGCTGGGCAGCAGTGGCACATGCCTTTAGTCCCAGCACTCAGGAGGCAGAGGCAGGTGGATCACTTTAAGTTCAAGGCCAGCCTGGTCTACACAGAGTTGCAGGATAGGCTCCAAAACTACACAGAGAAACCCTGTCTTGAAATACTGCACCCCCACCCCCCACAAGAAAACAAAAAGCTTACATTCTAGTACATTCCAACCAATGGAAAAGTTAGTCAAAATGTACTCACTTCTCAGCATGTACAAATCAGCTAGTGATTTCCTTCACCTGGCTTTATTCTGAGCTCATCAGAAACACCAAGGGTATTACCAGAGGAAACCACACTACAGACCATGATCTGCATCAGTGTCCCCTTCTCCTAAAAGGCCCTCCAACTCTGACCCACCTGTGGCCCACTCTTACCTCCAGCTCTTGGTTCTCCAACATCCTACACCAAAAGCCCATCGGAAGAAAACATCTGAGGGCAGAAGACACAGGAACAAGCACAGTTAGCAAGTCTGTCCTTACCAGGTTTTGTCAGGGCAAAACCCCAAAAGGTTTTAGTATATAGCCCTTGGGGAAACCCAGGTTAACTTCCTGCTCCCCAGTTATGATGTGTGAAACTCTAAAGGGGATAGGAAAAACACCCACATTAGTCAGTGGCAAGCCCCAGGGAATTTGTCTCCATTCTCAGACTTCTCCTGGGACCCTCCACAAGGCCTCCTCAACCTAGAGCTTGTTGGGATATGTGGAGAGTGTGTCGTGGGTAGCCAGAAAAGCAGGGAGGTTCCCTTGTAAAACTTTTGCCTGAGGATTTTGGCTTGGCAGTATAGGGGAGCACAGCTTTGAAATGGAGCGTAACAGCACCCCCTCCTGGTTGTTTAGAGACAACCCAGTCCCTACGAATATCAATGCTCCAGCAATCTCTCTTGCTAACCAAAGTCCCCTCCAGACAGGTGAGTCATTGAGCTGGAGTGCTCCCGGGAGCAGCCAACTGAATGGTCCAGTTACAGTTACCACCTTCCCTTATCAGCTCTCTAGAACTGGAGCCAACCATTGTAATCATTTCCAATCCTGACATGCCATCCGGTTTGTACCTCTGCCCAAGCACCCCACAGCTTCGAGGGTCAACTCAGGATGCATTCTGCTCCTTTGTAAAGATTCATTAAAGCCTAAGCCTCTCATTTCCCCCAGTGTGGTAGTTTACGTGTACGGCGACATCGCCCACTCCAGCAAGGGGACCATGAAGGCTGCAGCACAGGGTTGCTGGATTCCAACGGGGCCCATGATGTCACCTTCTGTTAAAATACAGCACTAATCTTGTTACTCCTAGACCCACTCCAACAGCATCCACCCTGGCTGCCGCCGCCACCTCCTTCCTCTCTCTTAAGAGCAAAACAATAAGGTTTAATTTCCCTTTCCAATTTACCTTGAAATGAAAACTGACTTCAGCCAATATGTACTGCCAACAAATGATCCGGGCTGGCTCCTGGGAAAACAAGACTGTCTAAGCTCTCCCTCCCCTCCTCCCGTGCCCATTCACACACCCACTCATTTTTACAGTCCCACAATTAATTTTAAACACATTCTCTTATTAGTTCTGCCTTACCATTACAAGAGTGCATAATGAGCTTCCGTCTATTTTATGTTTTGCTAACACAGGGCTAATGTTTCAAAAGAGGGGGAACTCATTTACAGCATGAAATTAGCAGAGCAAACAGCTTTTGCAATTCTTTCCAATATCCCAGAAGGTCTCACTTCTACAGACAGACTTTGCATTCGGGGACAAAGCTACATGGCAGATGACAAAAGTGAGCTACATTGTGGAGCAAGCCCAAGGTTTTGTGATTTCTACACCCTAATAAACAGCATTCTTGCTGACAATCTGATTTTTCATCAGCTGCAGTCACCACCTCCAACAGGCCCTGAACTGAAATTCAGGAAACTCCAATTCCCCAATAACCTAGACTAACAGTCCAAACGGAATCAGACAAAGGCCTGTGACCAAAAATAGAAGACAGACGATGTGAATAATTAACCTCCTGGGGTTCCCCACCCCTTTTTCTTTATAGGCATTTGCTAATCTGCTAGCATAGGAACCGAGAGTTAAACATTCCCAAGTGTCTTTTTGTAGTACAGTAGGAAAGATGACAAGAAAAGAGTTGACACTTCTCTGCCTGGAAAGCTCTGTGAAATTCAAGACTCTAGCTCAATAACTAAACAGTCATCATAGCTTCGGTCTAAAGAAGAGTTTGAAAGGGGCCAGCAGCACCCCCAAGTGGAAGTTTTTTCCTTTATTGTGAAGCTAATATCACATAGAAACAATCATAAACTGTCTTTTAAAAATTCAAAGCCTCTAAGACTCCATGTGTTTATATGCTTAAACCTAAGTTTAAAGGGCACCGAGGAAGTTCTGGTTTATGATTCCTTAAAATACTGAAACTAGTATACTGAAAAATACTGAAAAAAAACCTAGACTCCGTTTCTTCTTTCTTTCTTTTTTATTTTTATTTATTTATTGACTTTTCAAGGCAGGGTATAGCGTGATTGAAATCGAGCTGTAGTCCGTGGGGTTAAGATACCTTTATTCAGATAAACACCAGGCAAACGCAAGCCAGAGTGTGCCCAGAGGCAGCAAGCTAGGGAGGCCAGAGAGAGAGAGACTCCCACGTCTCTGCGGCCCCTTTTTTTTTTTTTTTTTTTTTTTTAAGTGGGAAGTTTTATTAGAAAGTGAAGAGAAAAGAGGTAAAGAGACACAGATACAGAGAAGAGAAGAGGGAGACAGGAAAAGTCCTGTCTGCCCTAGGGGAGCAGCAGGAAGGAGCTCTGCGGCCCCTTTAAGAACTCCCCACGAGTCATCCAGAGGCGTAGTCAAGCACACCTGTACCTAGCTCCTAGGAGGCGGGACTACAGTGTCTCCCCTACAGCAGGGTTTCTCTGTTTAACAGCCCTGGCTGTCCTAGAACTCACTCTGTAGTAGACCAGGCTGGCTCCTAACTCCACCTCCACTGTCCAGTAAGTAAAATTTAGGCTCCATTTCTAACAACCACTATTCTCCATCCATTTCCTTCCCACTCCTTGGAAGAAAATGAAACTCAGTCCATTCCTGGAGAAGCATCAAGTTCTTAACTTTAGCTATACGACCCAGAGATAGGAAGGATAAAATCAAGTGACCTCCACGGGTTAGAAACTTACTCAGTGCTAACTACATTTCCAGGGCCTTTCCCATCACATCCGTAGTGCTGTTTGCTTCCCTCAGCAGTATCAGCACCAAAAGTCCTGAAGAAGAACCAGATCTTTTGCTGTATACAAAGCTGATGCACTGTAAAGCTCACAACTGCTAATTCAGGGGAGCAATTCAAGGCCTACCCCTCATTTTTTCTACCACTTAAACTATTTCAAGAGACACGTTAAAAACAAATCAGACTATAAAACGATTGCGCCGAGGAGCCTGCCGCCTTACTCATTCTTGAGCCTTTGGTGTCAACAACTTTTGCAACTCAAAAACCTCGCCTTCCTAAATGCCCACAGATGTTAGAGGAAGCTCTCGCGCCGGACAGACACACCAAGCAGTCCAGCAAGCAGCTGTCCCACCTTTCAGGAGATAAACCTTTTCATTTCACCTGGAAATAACAAAGGCGACCATAATTTCCAGTATCTGCGAAAAATATCTGCCATTTTCTCCCACTCCCGGCCAGTTGGATAGATACCCCCGAACCCTGACTCTGGTCATTCCCTTTCATTCTTATCAAACTAGATGGAAAATAGAAACAGGCGCCTTCTCCTTTTCCGGTTAAACTTGGGACGAAAGACATCTTCTATTCTCAAGGTAAACTGAAAAGCCAGGCTTCCTTTTTTGCTGGGTCCCCAGCAAGCCCTCACTTTCACACCGGGCGGCAGCATGTCAAACGAGGCCAACACTCAAATGCCACCACTGCTCCTCGAGCCGGGGTCCCCCCTCCACCCCAGCAGCACCTACGAGCCCGGCTCCGCCCACGCCCCCTCACCTGAGAGCAGCAGCAGCTCTCTACAGCGACACCCTCAGCACCGCACCAGACAGCCCGAATTCCGGCTTCTCCTTCCGGGTGAGTCGCCGGCGCCCCGGTGCACGACGGGAGGCGTTTCCCGACGGACCAATCCTGAGTGTCCAGGACGCCCCACCCCTGCAGGCCAGGGCTCTCAGTGGCGATCGCGGGTCAGCGGTCGCTCTCCGCCCCGCCCAGACTTGAGCAGCAATCCGGATCTTTCCGGAAATTGCTGGGGCGCTGGAGGTGGAGCGCGAGAGGACAGAAACCCCTCAACGTCCACTCCAGTGTCGAGTCCCGCCCACCTCTGTCAGGCGCGCCAATCAGCGCGCAGGGAGCGTCATTAAAGGTCTGCGAGAGCATCTTGGGATCCGAGGTATCCGTAGGGGTGTTACAGTTGTCAGAGGTGTGGGGAGGTTCCACGCGTTCCTGGAGCTTCACTAAGATCTCCAGAGAGTCCCTGTTTGAACCTTGGAGGTTGCAGTTCCTCAGCTGAACTGTCAAGGGCACTGCCGGTTAGATTTGGAAAAGACGCAGATTATCCCGGCAAAAACCAAGCGAGAAGGCTGACAACTCACAGTGACTCCCCGAGACAAGCCCAAAGCAGGATCGCGCAGGTAACAAGCAAGGAAAAGCTGGTGAAAATGCTAACTCTGGTGACATCAAGATTCCTCTTAAGGCAATAGAAGGGCTCACGCAAGGAATCCTAACACTAGGAAGATTAAAGCTACATTAGTGAGTTCCAAACCACCCAGGCTACAGAGTAAGGGTCAATCTCAAAACACAATAAAATAAATAAATAAACCAAAACCTTCGTCATCTGTTAAAAAGATAATTTTACACCTGTAATCCCAGAACTTGCAAGTAGAGGCAGGAATTGAAGGCCATTGCCAACTACATAATGAGTTTCAGCCTAGCCAGGGCTACCTAAGACCCTGTCTCAAAAACAACCAAACGGGAGCTGAAGAAATGGCTCAGAGTTTAAGAGTGTTTGTTCCCTCTTACAGAAGATGAATTCAGCACCCACATCCGGCAGCTATCAACTGTAATTCCAACTCCAGTGGATCCGAGGCATACATATACACACACACCAAAAATAAATGTTTCTTTTTATTTTGTGTATGAGTGTTTCACCTGTAAGTATGGAGGCCTACCTGGAACCCTCAGAGGTCAGATGAGGGTATCAGATTTCCTGGCGCTGGAGTTACAAATGGTTGGAGCCACTGTGGGGATCTGGGAACTGAACCATGGTCCTATGCAAGAGCAGAAATTGCTCTTAACCTCTGAGTCATTTCTCCAGTTCCAAATCTTTTTGTTTGTTTGTTTGTTTCTCTTTCATGCTCAATTGTTTTAGTATGTGAAGAAAATCTAGCCCAGCACAAGCATATCAATGGAAAAGGCCTTTTTTAGCCTTCTCTAAAAATAATGAATAGTCTTTTGCTATAACAAAACATCAAATAGTACTCTCCTTCCCATATCTGTCTCTCCTTTGATTTTAAGATAAATCTCTTTATCTAGCCTGGGAACTAACTATATAGACTAAGATTACCTCAAATGCACAATGTGCAATCCTCCTGCCTCAGTCACACAAATACTAAGACTGCAGGTGTGCACCATAATGCCCAGTTAACAAGTAGTGGCTTCCTTTTAAAGCTTTATTTTTACTTATGTGTCTGTATATGAAGTTGCATGACTTTATATGTACCACTTGTGTGTGCAGGTGTCCATGGAAGCCAGAAGAGGGGATCAGATCCTCTGGAACTGGAGTTACAGAAGGTTGTGAGCCACCCAAATGTGGATGCTTGGGAACTGAACCTCGATCCTATGCAAGAGCAGCAAATGCATGCTGGGCGTTGGTGGCGCACACCTTTAATCCCAGGCAGGCAGACCTCTGTGAGTTCGAGGCCAACCTGGTCTACAAAACCAGTGTGCCAGGATAACCTCCAAAGCAATACAGAGAAACCCTGTCTCGAAAAACAAAAACAAAAACAAACAAACAAACAGCAAATGCTCTTAACAACTGAGCCATCCATCGCTCCAATCCCATCAAAAAAAATTAATAATGTTAATATCATCACTGTTGTCATCAGGAAACTTCCAGGAAGTTGTTAGATTCATGATGATAGACACCAAATTTCCAAAGGTAAAAATTTTGCCTTTCTTTCTTTCTCTTTTTTTTTTTTCTTCTTGAGACAGGATATCCAGCTAGCACGACGCATACTCAGAAAACGTGCTTAAGAGTCCACTATGAGGGGAAACATTTCATTCTCAAAAATTTTTTTCCTCTTCCTGTTATCAGTAGTTCTGAATGTTAGATATTTTTTCCATGGGGTCAAAAGGTACCTAAGTATATGATTGCGAGTGGAAAAATAGGGGACAGAAATCAGGTATTGGCAGTTTTTCCATTTTCATTTGTGTGTGAATTTTTAATATAAATGCAAGATGTAAAGCATTAATGCAAGCAAAATGTTTCAGTGAACACATTTCAACAGTTCAACTTTATAACAATTATAAATAAACCTGTTAAAATTTTCTGGACAATGCCAGCATTTGGATTTTTTTAAATAAGTAAATTTCTTATTGACGGCAACTAAATGGTGTTTGTAGCATTTTTATCATACAGTAGATTCCATCCATTCACTATACTTTTCTAACTGAGCTGTCCTGCATGCAAGTACATGTTCTTAATGTTGTCTGTCTTCTGTGCTGTTCCTGTAAGTTTGCTATTAAAATACATAAAACTATAAAAAAAAACATATTGAGAGCTAGCACAATGCTACAGTGGAAGATGCCACACAGGTCTTGGTCAAAATGCAGACATGTTAAAAATACCTCCAAACTTTGTATATAACATATATTTAAAAAGTTGGGCCTGGTCAAACATATATAATCCTAGCACTGAGGAGGTTAAGATGGAGTTCTAAGGTCAATCTGAGCTACAAAAGACCTCACGATTTTTTTGTTTTGTTTTTTGAGACAGGGTTTCTCTGTGTAGGGTTTCTCTAGTTGTCCTGGAACTAGTTCTGTAGACCAGGCTGGCCTGGAACTCACAGAGATCCACCTGCCTCAGCTGGGATTAAAGGCATGTGCTGCCACCATCTGGCTCAAAGGTTTTTGTCTGTTTTTTTGTTTGTTTGTTTTTTTAAAATCTATTTATTCTTGTTTATGGTGCTCTACCTGCATAAGCACCTGCATGCCAGAAGAGGGCAACAGATCCCACCACAGGCTGTGAGTCACCATGTGGATGGGGGGGATTGAACTCAGGACTTCTTAACCACTGAGCCATCTCTCCAACCCCAAGACCCCACAATTTTTTATTTTTATTTATTTATTTATTTTTGTTGGTTTTTCGAGACAGGGTTTCTCTGTGGCTTTGGAGGCTGTCCTGGAACTAGCTCTTGTAGAACAGGCTGGTCCTTGATGCCTCCCAAGTGATGGGATTAAAGGCGTGTGCCACCACCGCCCTGCAAGACCCCAATATATATATATTATTGCATATATATATATATATATATATATATATATGCAAAAGCCAGAACTAGTCAAAGTCAGAGGTATGTGGCTTACAAGTACATATTTTAATCAAACTTAACTATCAGGGAATCAATGTGAAAAAGCAAACAAACCCGAGGATATGAGAGAGAAGAAATGCCCCTTAAACATATTACATGTTATAAGAGTACATGTTAATTCCAGAATGAATAAATCTTTAACAGCTGGATTTCAGGTAGCAGTCTGAACTGGGTCTGGGGGTTCAAAGTCTAGTAATCCCAATTCTTTAGAGCATGAGACTGGGAAGATCTGGGATTCAGGGTTATTAAATGAAAGAAAAAGAAAAAGAAGGGAAAGGACATGACTGCTCCTAGGTATGGTGAAAGAGGAAGTTTGTTGTAGATAAAAGGGAGAGCACAGCCCGAGGCAAAGACATCTGGGATAGTCCAGAAAGGACATGGCCCTGAGTCGTGTGAGGAGAAGAAAGAGGAGAGAAACAGATGAAGAGGCCAGGAGGGTAAAAAGCAGAGGAAAAGATCATGTACCCCAAATAGCTGGATTATGTAGGGAAGGGCAGGTGGGGCAGCCCAGCCACTGGGTTAGAGAAATTTAGGGTGGGGGCAGGGTGACAGCCAGAAGGGCCCAAACAAGTTGGGACCAAGGGATGCGGAAGAACCTAGCTCTCGGCAGCTGCTTTCTTATGTTAAGTAGGCACTTCAGCCATTCCTCTCAGGTTTGAGACTACAGTTCTTGGCCACAATCTGAAGCTAGCCCAGGCTACATGAGATCCTGTCTCAAAGACCCATCACTAAAAGACCCAATACTAGGTGAAGGGAGAAGACCCTCATCTAGCCCCCTGCTTTGGCAGCCATAACAGGCTGAAGAAACGACCTAGCAAGACAACGGCCTCTGATTCAGCAATATGTGCTGAGCTTCCGACCTTGCCCGATCTTGCCCAAGGCACTAGGGAGCCAGAAACCCTTCATGTGGCAAGGAACCAATCAGAAGTTAGCTGGGCTCTAGATGTGCTTTATGGTAACAGTGGGGTGCAGAGTATAGCAACCGCCCTGGGAGGGCCTATAGGCCACAGCAACCTTGTTGCAGATACAGTTGACCAATCAACACAGGACAGGTTGCCCAAGCGTGGAAGTGCACCAATCCTAAGACTGTTGTGGACCCCTGACACTCCCCTTGCTCTACCCCAATACATTTCCTGCCCCCACAGTCCTTCCCTCCACTGTTATCCATAAAGCACATCCAGAGCCTGCCAGCTAATTTCTGATTGGTTCATTGCCACGTGGAGGGTATCTGGCTTCCTAGTGAGTAGGGCAAAGTCAGGCCCTATTCTGACCCTTAACCTGAGCAGAAAAACAACCAATCCCTGAGCATGAGATCTAACCAATCTGAGGTCAGGGATTGAAATCTAACCAATCCCTACCATGGAAATCTCCCTGGAAAAACTCTGCCCCTAAGAAGCCTTATATAAACCCTGTGGCTGTCCGGCTGTCCTCTGCCACCCTGGAAGAGACAGCCACTCTCCTGGACCCTTGCCCACCAATAAATCTCTTGAATGAGGTTTGTGTGAGACCTTCCTTCGATAGCCCTACCCTGCTGGAGAGCAGAGCTATTATACTGGGGAAGCCTTTCCCTGGAGCGGGGCTGTAAACTGCAATGTTCGCTCTGACCTGTGGTATTCTTTGGCTCCCAAGTGGTAGAATACTTTTTCATCTGAGCTGTAACACTTAGTATTCTGTGGCTCCCAAGTGCCAGAATACCTTTCCATCCAAGCTGTAACACTTAAGTGTTCTTTGGCTCCTGAGTGCCAGAATCCCTTTCCATCCAAGCCACAATGCTTACAACAATCACACAGTGCTACTCTTATTAAAGGAATGGGTGCAGGGATAAAACAATTTAAAACCATGTAATTCTAAACACACACCTACCCATCCCTCCCCACTGACTTCCTGGCCCCTAGCCCAGCCCCCTCCATTATATACTCCTGTCTAGCCTGGAACTCACTATGTAGATCAGACTGGCCTCAAATTTATAGCTTCCTGCTTCTTCCTCCAAAGTACTGGGATGACAGACCACCACATTCAACCTCTTAACAATCTTCTTTCTTTTTTTTGTTGTTGTTGTTTTTGAGATAGGGTTTCTCTGTGTAGCTTTGGAGCCTGTCCTGGAACTCACTATGTAGACTGGGTTGGCCTCAAATTACAGACATCTGCCTGCCTCTGCCTCCCGAGTGCTGGTCTCTTAGCAATTTCAAAATGGATATTGTTAAACAGAAATTTTAGGTTTATAAATTTTTGTTTGTTTGTTTTTGAGACAGGGTTTTTCTCTGTGCTTTGGAGCCTGTCCTGGCACTTGCTCTATAGACCAGGCTGACCTCAGACTCATAGAGATCCGCCTGCCTCTGCCTCTGCCTCTGCCTCTGCCTCTGCCTCTGCCTCTGCCTCTGCCTCTGCCTCTGCCTCTGCCTCTGCCTCTGCCTCTGCCTCTGCCTCTGCCTCTGCCTCTGCCTCTGCCTCTGCCTCTGCCTCTGCCTCTGCCTCTGCCTCTGCCTCTGCCTCTGCCTCTGCCTCTGCCTCTGCCCTCTGCCCTCTGCCCTCTGCCCTCTGCCCTGTGGCCTCTGGCCTCTGGCCTCTGGCCTCTGGCCTCTGGCCTCTGGCCTCTGGCCTCTGCCTCTGCCTCTGCCTCTGCCTCTGCCTCTGCCTCTGCCTCTGCCTCTGCCTCTGCCTCTGCCTCTGCCTCTGCCTCTGCCTCTGCCTCTGCCTCTGCCTCTGCCTCTGCCTCTGCCTCTGCCTCTGCCTCTGCCTCTGCCTCTGCCTCTGCCTCCCGAGTGCTGGGATTAAAGGCATGCGCCACCACCACCCAGTTAGGTTTATAGATTTGACATCTACACCTGACAGATTTTCAGATGAGCATAAACCAGCAGTGTTTCACTGTGTAAAAAAACAAAGTTGGGTTTTGGCTCCCTTAATTCCTTTTTAATTTACTTTTATTTTATGTGCATTGGTGTTCTATCTCCATGTATGTCTGTGTGAAGGTGTCAGATTCCCTGGAACTAGAGGTACAGACATTTGTGAGCAGCCACATGGGTGCTGCCAGATCCTCTGGAAGAGCAGCAGCTGGTGCATTTGCATGGAGAGTGGTGACTTGGGGATGGCAGCATTTGGTGCTGACAGGAACATGATTTGGTAATTGAAAGAGCAATAAATTTGGGATTATAGCCAGTGTTGGTGGCACATGCCTTTAATCCCAGCACTCAGGAGGCAGAGGCAGGTGGATCTCTGTGAGTTCGAGGGCAGCCTGGTCTACAGAGCGAGTGCCAGGATAGGCTCCAAAGCTACACAGAGAAACCCTGTCTCGAAAAACAAAAACAAAAAAAAAAAAACAAAAAAAAATGGATTATAATTTTCACCTCCAATCAAGAATTGAACATAGATTGGCTAGAATGGTGTTGCATGTTAAGCCTCAAAACCGGACAAATGGCTGAGATGCCAGTTAAACATATCAAAGCAGACCTGGTCTCCAGGTTCTCCCAGTGTCCCTGAGTCCCCCTGTTACAGGGTATGGCTGAAAGATCCTGCCCTCTACCCCCTCTTCCCAGCTCTCCAGCTGAGACTGGGCTGCCCTTCCCTATATAATCCAGCCATTTTTTTTTGTTAAACTCCCCCCTTTTTTTTGTTTTTTCTTTTTGGTTTTTCCCAGACAGGGTTTCTCTGCAGCTTTGGAGCCTGTACTGGAACTAGCTCATAGAGATCTGCCTCCTGCCTCTGCCTCCTGAGTGCTGGGATTAAAGGGACGAGCCACCACTGATCAGCAACCTACCCACCCCCCCTTTTTAACCTTTTGCCCTTTTGGCTGATGAACCTGGTTCCCCTCTCTCTTCCTTCTTCCATCCCCTCCCCCCTTCTTATTTCTTTTCTTTCCTTTTTTCATTTATCTAGTGCTGAACCCAGGTGCTCACACGCTGGGACAAATGGCTGAGGTGCCTATTCTGCAGTGCAGGTCTATAATCTCACCAATCTGGGAGGCTGAGGTACAAGGCAGAGTTTAAGGCCAAGGAATTTGTGTGGAAGACCCTGACTCCAAAACAAGCAAAAAATAAAAAATAAAAAAAATAAAAATAAAAATAACTTCACCTGGGCTGGAGAGGCTGGGAGTAGTGCCCAGCTGGAGAGTGCTGGCTTGTTATGCACAAGGTTACAGATTCAGGACCAAGAAGAGAAAGAAGGAAGCCAGGTGTCCTGGCACTGGAGTAGATCCAAAATGATAATGTCTTAGGCTTGGGGTGCCATGGAGTGTATGTGTGTGCAGCCAGATCAAAAGGAGTGGGATCCCCTGCAACTGGGATTAATTACAGGATGTTGTGAACCACCATATGGGTGGTGGGAACAGAACTCAGATCCTCTGCAAGAGCAGCAAATGCCCTGGGTGTGTAAAGTGCTCTCTTGTCACGTGCAAGGCCCTGAGTTTGATCCCCAGCACCAATACAAGATGAAACAAAACTAAAAGCATTACTGATATTCTCATTTTCAAAGTTATCCAAAACACCACACTTCAAGAAAGAATAGGTTGATTGCTGCCTATTTTGGGAGGCTGAACCTAAATATTTTCAGGAAGAATTGGCCTCTTTTTTTTTTTTTTTTTTTTTTTTTTTTTTTTTTTTTTTTTTGAAGAGGGTTTTTTTTGTTTTTTTTTTTTGTTTTTTCTTTTTGGTTTTTCCGAGACAGGGTTTCTCTGTGGCTTTGCAGGCTGTCCTGGAACTAGCTCTTGTAAACCAGGCTGATCTCAAACTCACAGAGATCCACCTGCCTCTGCCTCCTGAGTGCTGGGATTAAAGGCGTTGCACCAACACCACCCGGCGAATTGGCCTCTTTTAACTAAATTTTTGTATGGTACTGCTGAGGTAAAATTTTTTTTCTCTCTTTTCTTTTTGTCTTAGTTTTTTGAACAGAAAAGTTCTCATTGTTTTGTTTTTTGAGGCAGGCTCCCACTCGGTAGCCTAGGCTGGCCAGGTATTCCCTACACAGCCTAAGCTGCTCTTAAATTTACTCCTGCCTTAGTCTTCTGAGTACTAGGATTAAGAGGCATGGTTCATCACACCTAGCCTTGGGAAGTTTGATCAGTTCTATTTTCTGTCAGGAAGGAGGACACCATCTCATTTATTGACTTAATCACTTACTCAATAATTTTTTTCCAACAGTGAGAGCCAAAATAGGGACATGTAAATATTAACAACAAATACCAAGGACTTTATTGGGTGTTGTGGATATAATGAGCCATATAAGGGCTCTTAGTGGAGTTTACAGTTCAAAAGTTAGCAGCAACCTAGCTGAAATCAGAACTACATACTTGCTTAAGAACAGTAACCACAGTTTTTGCTTAATTAGTTAGGTAAGGAGTGCTCATTGAGATGGAGGAGTCCCCATGAAAGTTATCCATTGGCACAGACAATAAAGGGACATTTTTGCATGTGGTGGCACATGCCTATAACTCCAGCACTTGGAGGCAGAAGACTCAGGACTTCAAGGTTAGCCAGGGTTCCCTTGAGACCCCGTGCACCCCCCACACAAATAAATAACAACCAAAACAAAAAACAAAAAAAGAGGGAACGAAGAAGACGAAGAAAAGGAGAGAGAAGGGAAAAGAAAATTCAGGAAGTGACCAGATGATGACTACCAAAAAATTAATTTAGTCAGGCAGTGGTGGCACATGCCTTTAATCCCAGCACTCAGGAGGCAGAGGCAGGTGGATCTCTATGAGTTTGAGGCCAGCCTGGTCTACAGAGTGAGTTCCAGGACAGCCAGTGCTGTTACACAAAGAAACCCTGTCTTGAGAAAACAAAAACAACAACAAAAAAAGAGGATTAATTTAGTACTTTCTGAAAGGGAAAGTGATTTCAAGGCTGAGGAGTAGTAACCTCATGGAGGTGGAGATAAAAGATTACAGAGACCGCTGGACATTACTGAAAGGTGGAGATTTGGTAAATCTCAGGGGACAAATATGTTAAGATTTTTGTTGTTCTTTTGTTTTTCAAGACAGGGTTTCTCTGTGTGCGCTCCTGGAAGTCGCTCTGTAGACTAAGCTGGCTTCAAACTCACAGAGATCCACCTGCCTCTGCCTCCCAAGCGCTGGGATTAAAGATTATTCTTTAGCCTGGTAGTAGTGGCACACGCCTTTAATCCCAGCGCTTGGGAGGCAGAGGCAGGTGGGACTCTGTAAGTTCGAGAAGAGCCTGGTCTACAAGACCTAGTTCCAGAACAGCCTCTAAAGCTACAGAGAAACCCTGTCTGGAAAAAAAAAAAAAATATATATATATATATATATGTATATGTATATGTATATAATATGTTATTATATATATATATATATATATATATACATATTAAACACAGAGGATATTAATTACAGAACTGCCCAGAGGCAAATGGGGTTTTTTTGTTTGTTTGTTTTTTTGGGGTTTTTTTTGGGCGAGGCAAATGGTTTTCCTGACCAAATATCTAGGGGCTAGTTTCCAAACACACGTGTTCTGGGTAGACTGAGTAAGATGTTGTGGCCTGTCATCTGAAGTTTGAGGCAAAAGAAAGGCCACGAGTTCGAAACCTGCTGGTCTACATACCCCGTTATTAAAAAACAAACAAACAAGCCCCACCACCACTCAGCAAACTTTCTAGACTGTAGAGTTATAAACTACAGTCGACCCCGCCTTTCCAGTTTAAAGGAAACAACCCTAGAAAGTAGGGGGGCGGGGCGGGGGAGGGAAGAGACTCGCGCGGCACTCTGGGATTTGTAGTTTTGCACGGACTCAGAGTCCCATGATGCCGTG